AGCCGAGAGAGCGTGACTTAGGGTCATACGGCGAAGATCCCACATCACTCGTGGATCACGTGTTTCGGGTCTAACAATATCTAACATTAGCAATCGTGTCTTATAAGTAAAATTTTATTCTTAAAACTTTTAGTTAGGGGTTAGAAGTTAGTCATCATGGTAAATTTTTGTGTTATTTAAGTTTTTTTTACAATTATGTTTTTCGCATTTGTTTTGTTACACGAGATCCTGTGATTTTATTGGTTCAGCCCGGGATTTCGACATAAGGGTATCCTCCTACCGCTCACAATATAGAATGATAAACAAATAAAAAATTCTACGAAATTCACATGATATCGTCAATTCATGTAGATCATGACAATAATATTTATCAAAATAGTAACATAATTGATTTAGTAAATGATTTTTTTTCTTCGATAGCTGGGTGATGTGGTCACGCAAAACCAGGAACGGGAGACGTGAGGAATATCGGTATTGCATTAATTGAATGTGTGCCAAGTTCATGGTACAACAAAATTTTTTTAAAGCCTGTTTATGTTAGGGTTAGAGTTAGGGTGGGTCGGTAACGGTATGACTGGTCACTGACCGGTCATAACCGTAACTGATATCGGTCGGTCAAAGGCTTGTGACCGACCGGTTAAAATCCTGACCGATACTATTTTAACGATGTTAATTGATTTATTACAATGTTTGTTATTATGTTACGCAATAATAAGCGATTTGAAAAATAATAAGTTTAAATTATTTTTTTCTTGGTGTTAATTATATGTAGAGATGAGCGCAATGCCATAATTGGTTGTAATTATAATGCATTATGGCATTATTTATTGTGATTCATTATAATAACTAATTACAGCATTTGCTTACATGCTCTAATATTTATAAACTAGGAAAATGGAAACCATTTGGAGTTTGAAGATCTAAAAAAAAACGTTGGTTCGATTTTTTTACGTTAAACCTAATCTAGCCATCAGGTACTACATGTAGTGTCCGAAGGATTTTTGTTTTATGTTACGCTTAATCTAGCCAATAAACATTGGTCATTGATTGTTTTGATTTTTTACTTTACACTTGATCTAGTCAATCAAAATTTAGAATTTGTTAACACACAGACATCAGGTGTACTATTGTTCTGCCTGTAGTGTCCTTCGGACAATAAAATAATTTATTTTAACTAAGATAATGCATATTAATAAATTTAACAATGACACTCATACCGATGACCGTGATTCTCGTGATTTAGAAGTGCAACTAAGGAAAAGTCAGCAATCTTGAAGATCACATATAAGTAACTTTATTTTGCATCATGGTATCCTGTTTTATCTTAAGTTCACTTTATAATTTATCAATGACACAGTCACAGTAATAACCATCATACTGGACTTCCCCAGCGTAACCATCAAAAAAACCGGACACGTCATCTTTGTGGCTTATATTGCTGATTGATATATTCAAAATTACTGTCAGCTACATAATATATATAGGAATTTTTATAATTCTTATCGTTACGTATTATTTTTTTATGCTTAACGCAATTGATGATGCCACATAAATTACATATCCGGGATTTTATTTTGTGGTTACGCTGTAGTAGTTCATCATACTGCATATCAATACTGATACTAATCCTGATTAAATATGCACAGAGATCTGATTAAAACTTGGATGTATAGAAAGTTTTGTCGCAAACCTATCTAATAACTGCGGTAGGTCGGTTATGAGTCAATAACCGGCAATAACCGACCGTGACCGACTTGACCACCCCTAGTTTGAGTCAGGTTTAAGAATTAGAAGGGAGTAGTTTATACAGTAAAATTGCCCGACGAAAACTTTTTTAGAGCACTAAAGGTGGTTACTTATGCTGATTTTGAGAAATAAGAATTTTAATGATAATGTTAATTTCTACCTGATCTTGGAATCTGTGTCATAAGTCCGGAACACATTCAAAATATACACATCTCATGCTGCAAATGTATGCATTATGGTTATGTAATTGCATTGCAGATTTAAAATAACACTTTATTTCTTATCACCATATGTAGGTTACTTAACATGCTATCTTAGAGAAATTTGCGTTTCATTTGTTATCTCCTTTTCGTTCATTATTATATTGCTTTAAACTACGATTGGTCAATGCTTTGAAATGGTAACGTTGCAAATTCAAGTATAATTACGATATATTCCTGTATTCGAGTATTTATTCAAACTGTATGTAATATTTTAAATTCTTTCAAGGATTCGGATTGCAATACTTGGAATTACGATTACAAAAAAATGACTACAGTATGAAATAAACAATTAGAATCATTTGAATGCGTAAGAATTATTTTGTAATATATGTACGTATAATAAGTTAGCATTCATACTGTAATACGCTTGTAGAAATTAGAGAAAATCAAGATATAGCCTGTTACACACAGATAGAGAAGCCCCATATGCAAATCAGGAAAACCAAGTTGCATATAGACGAAAAACTCCATACACAATTTCTAATTACATAATTATAGAATGGTGCAATAAGTTCGTATTCATAATAAATATAGAAATAAATATAGAAATAAGTAATCGCATGATGCATATAAAAAGAAATACCATGTATTTGTACAGAAACACTTGACATGCCACTTAACCATGCATTCCGTTCCTGGTATAACAAGAAACTTTTACGCATAAGTAATATAAATGCGGCTTAGTTTTATTTTATACAATAAACGTGTTCGATCGGTTTGATACAATTTTTATAAAAAGAATAACCAAAGAAAATCACTGCAAATCTGCATTTAGTGTTCCGAGTCGGTAAAAATTTTTCCAATCGATTAGTTGCCAACTATAGTTGCAACTAATCGATTTTGCCTATCGTGTGACTAAATTTGTTGGTTGGCAAATCAAACTAAAGAAATCAACACGAATAGACGGAATATCATAGGCAGAAGTTGTCTGATTGGTTAATAAATTCAATTTAGATTATTTATACAGTTTAGAGTACTTTTTAAAAAAAACGAAAACTAATCATAATGGAATGAAAATTTGTATAGAAAGTTTCATTAGAGCTGTAGGACTTTATAGCCAAAAAATAAATTCTAATTCTCATCCGTTTAAAAAAAATGGTATAGTAGTAACTTCTCAAAACCTGATAAAATCAACTTATTACTAAGTTAATTTTTTTAAATGAATGAGAATTAAATCTTATTTTGGTTACGGAGTCCTACAGCTCTAACAAAACCTTTTATACATCTTTTTTTTTATTTATTATGATTGGTTTTCGATTTTTTAAAAAGTGCTCTAAACTGTATAAATAATCTGGATAAATCCGTCATTCATTGTGCATGAGTGCGTGAGAGTGAAAATCAGGAAATAATTTAATGATTTATTATGATTGGTTACTCTCATATCTGATATCCATTTAAGGATATCCGAATAAATTCGAATTTAATTTTTTTCCCTGTCTCTCACTTCCGTATTTGTCTAATCCATTACAGTCAGTGTAGATCGCACCTTGTATAGTATGGAAATGTCGATCACATGATTCTAGATCATTTCTGCATTAAGTTGTCACATACCTTCCATAAATGTATCGTCATAGCTATGTTAATCTTACCTTTATAATATTAGGTATTCTAGTGATGTGAATTTCCCCTAGTCGCGTATACGCTCTCGCATAAACTTGATAGAATGAGTTGCCCGTGGGAAAACATAGATGCTAAATTCTTAGCATAGACCTTATAAGAAATAAAATGCATTTAAAGGGTCGCTCTTGCCCTTAGCTCAGGGGAAATAATGCTCTCTGAAATCGTCTCTATAATAAAGAATACATAAACCTACATTATTTTATATAATAAATGCCTACTAATCATGTAAAATCCGAATTCCTTAATTTGTTATCATGCACCGCATCACTATTACGTCAACCATCGGAGTTAAACTCGTCATGGTTGTCGGAAGCACTCCCATTCAATGGTGACAATAGGGAGGCCCGACTGTACTTCCAAATTCAGAAATACATTCACATTAACGTTAACTGTAATAGTATCTAGGTTATTAATCAAATTTGTATAGCCTGGTTTTTTTTTTTTTTTTGGTCATGATGCGGAAGAACATCAATTACATTTATGTTTGCCGTCATTTAAAGGACTAAAAAAAGTATTATTGGTTATCAATGTTAGCAATCTGGAAGAACATAAATTACAATAATGTCTGCTGTCTAAAAGAAGCATCATCTTTGATTATCAACTATGATCTGGAAGAACATAAATTACGCTAGGTCTAAAAAAATATCTATGAAACATTTGTTCGGAACCAATTTTTTTAAAAAAAGATCTGAAATAATACACCAATTTTTATGTTTTTGTAAAGGAATGCAAGTTAATATTCTTGTGGCTAGCACCATCTTTAAAATTTATAATTTTTTTAAAAAAAACCGATTATTTGATTGCACTATAAAATTTTATTTTTTTAAGACCACTCCAAATGTGACATTAAACAGCACCAAAAATACAGTAATTCTATTAATTTAAAAAGATACAAAAATACAGTAATTCTATTAATTTAAAAAGATACAAAAAAGTCAAGTCTACAATTTGATTAGTTAAAGTATTGTATTTAGACTACTTAAAATTTTCGCCATTCTAAAATTTATAGAAATTTAGGTTATAAACAATAACGCAAAATTATATAAAGTATCCTTCTAAAGCCTTTAGGAAATTGTCATCAATTATGAAGGTTACCCGTATAATAATAAATTTATTGTCGTTATTATTGATTTTAATATTACAAAATTATTTAGTAGACCATGCTATTTATACACCATTGAAACAATATTTAAAAGTACCTGAAAGAGAATTGCCTGGCTTATTGGCTAATGAAGAAATTTTGATCAAAGGAAATCGTCTATTAACACC